ACGCGAGTTACGTCACGATTTTATAGTTTTCCTGTACTCGCCAATTTTTAAGTATTTGCATGCCTATTATTTATTATCTTATGGTAAACTGTATCATCATTTTTGTAAAGAAAAAACTCACAACTAACCGTACGGACTACAGATCAATTCAATATGATTACGAAATTTACCTCTACCTATTTGTTCAAAGGTTTTGTTATCGAAGACGGAAATATTATAAAATAATTACGATTTTTGAAACTCCACAACACCAATTATATTTTATTCGGCCGCGTCTGATATAATGATGTAACATACGATTTTGTCGTATATATAAGCAACGTGGGTGTAGTATATTATATATAGAATAGTAGTTATATCGCCGCTACATTGTAAACTACTATATAATAATACAGGTAACGCGGGACTTGAGATGATAATTAAAATCATAGAGCAAAATACTATTCAGTCGATCGGTGTATAATATGTACATTGTATGTGTTTAGTGATGCGTGCTGTCGATAACTACACTCTATATAATATTATATACCTTATGTAACCTTTGCGACATTGTAAATAAGTAATAAGTTATTACTAATAACGATCGGCGCTACTAATAAACGTAATCTAACTGTTGTTACCGTGGGCGTATATAGATGCTGGGTAGGGTGTTAACATTATGATTGAAACGGCTGACATTATATACGAATGCAACGTGTGCGCTAGACGCGTGTCACTTTTTTTCGGAGCAAAAATGTGTCGTACGAAACGACGGCTAAGAGGGGAGTGTCACGCGGGTCACGTGTTTGTGGATGCTCTAGTGGGTGAAATGCCAAACGTAGGTAGAAGCACGACAGATATTATAACTTTAAGTTTTACCACCTATACTATGCTACTAGACGGGAAATGAAGAATTAGATTTTAAATAATAATGAAAGAAATTGAGGGAGTAAGGGAGAAATAGGCTATATAAGTACAGTAGAAACCGTTTATAATGACATTCAAGGGACTAGTCAAAATTGGTCATAATAACCGATTGTCATTATAACCAAAATGACAAAAATTAAATTAAAAACTCTTTTATATACTCGCAATGAACAAAATATTTTATTACAATAACATTTTTAATGTGTTATTATATTATATTTATGTATATAAATCGTAAATTTAATTCATATAGAAAAAAAATAATAATACAATTTTTTAACATTTAATTATTATAATATATTTTAAAATGAAATTTACTGTGTATTAAAAAAATCCGTAATCTTAGTTTGAATTTTATTCGTATAAAATCATTCTTACTTTTCGCTATTAGTGTTTTCGCTATTAAAATATTTTGCGATTTTGACTTTCGCGGTTTTCACATAGACTCTGTTTTAAGACCTTCCATTAAATTAATAAAGTCATTATAGATAAAATCTTTTTCCATTAAAATCAAAAATAATCGTTATAACATCCGTGTAGTCATTATAATCGATACAAATTAGTACATACAATATAGGAGTTTTACCGGGACTTGCAATCTAAGGTCATTACACCCGGTGTCATTATAAACGGTTTCTACTGTATATTCTATTCATGAATATTATTTATAAATTTATATGTAAATTGAATTCAGTGAAGGATAGGCCTTTCTGGAAATCAAGATTTTACCGATGGAGCCTTGACCATGTATAATATAATACAGTGTATAGTATAATATGTATTATATTCATGGTGATTGGTGGCATTAAGCTACTTTGATTAAAATAACATACTTAGTACTAAGTAACTACGTTACATAAGTTACAGATCAATATTTACGTAAATAGGCTATTGAAACAATAATGCTCAGTGCCCATTAGATACTTATTAATTATTATAAATAGGTTATATACTTTTACCATAATACTTTTGTAATATTTACAAATCATTAAAATCATTTATTATACTACAGTAAAACCTGTCCTATGCCGAATTGCACGGGATCAATGAAAATTTCTGTTTTAAGTAAGTTTCCGTGTAACTAAATAAAAAGGAAAATTCTATACTATAGAGTTACAATATTTTGCATGATTAAAATTTAAGGTTATAACATTTTTCGGCCTATAATAAAAATTAAAATGTTGAAAATTAATAAATATCATAGGCTACAATAAATTTTAATTTTTAGTAAAAAATCATTTAATATGTATAAATTAGATATTTCAAAATAATGATAAATTTAAATTCCAAAATTTAAAGAACATAAAATTTAGTAGGTATTAATCAAATAATAATATGATAAAATAAAGTAAGCAGATTAAAATATAATTAAAAATTCAAAAATTGGAGTAAAGTTTTGTCCAGTTTTTTCTTTAGCAAATTAACAACTTTTTTCTATAATTTTCATTTTTTTCATTTAAACTTAAACAAATTTTTGAAGACATTGTGAGAACAAGTAAAACGAGATGAAAGACAGGAAAACTACGACCATACGGTTTGACAATAATGAGCACTGATAATATAGATTCTAGATAAAATGTAGTTATCTATCAACACGTATGACGCTGACCTTAATAATTGTTTAATAATAAAATAAATGTAGGTATCTAAAATATTTTTGTTCATTTTATGATATGTTTTTCCGTTTGTTAAAGATATACGAGTATGTGTATGATTTACGGGACCAAAAAAAGCTTTCCGTTTTACGTTAGACAGGTTCCGTTTTATTAAGGGTTTAATTTTTTGTTAAATTATAAAAATCTCCTGGGACCATAATAAATTTACGCACATAACAGGATTTCGTCTTAACAAGAGTCCGTATAAAACAGGTTTTACTGTATTTAGTATTTAATTAATAGAATCAGTAGTTATAAATGATAATTTATTAATTTATTACAATAGGTGCTATAAAAAATTAGTTATAATGCTATTTACCAACTAGTGCAAACTCTGGTATAGATACGATGCATAATACCTACACATATATATATATACTAATTGACAGGGTTAAGCAGTATCTTCGATACAAGTGTCTAAGATACGTATCTTAAATACGATTGTATCTTGTATCTTGATACAATTATAATATGAAGTATCGAGTATCTAGTATCTTAATACTCCAAATCCAAGTACCTATTTAGTATCTAGCATCGCGATACTAATTTTTGAGTATCTTGCCTATACCTGCAGCTAATTGAGACCGAACAGGCTTGGGAGGACAAAACTATTCAAATTTCACTAAAAAATATATCGAGACTTAAGCACTGAAAAACATTAAAATATGAATGCCTCTTTAAAAATCTAAATATATATATAACGTAATATGTGTTAGGCATATTGTATACATTTTTATAGTTCTCGTTGAAATAAAATCCCAATACTATCAACACTAAATTGATTCATTAAGATAAAATATTCGAATCAAAACATCAACTTCTTTTCTTTGAATCTCAATATATCTATAGACCTAATAATATATAAGTAGGTACTTATTATGTGTTTTCAGCTGACAATTTTAGAATTTGCTTGTACTTTTGATAGAATATTGTATAATAAATACCTACCGATATTATATCATGGTTCAGTTAAAACCAGTTGAGTTAAATATCATACTTAATATTATTTTATTAAAACTGCCCAGAATAGTTAACTCAATTGTTTACTCTCTGCACAACGATAAATATTAACTACATTTATTGAGTGTTTTGTTTACTTCTAGACAAAACTTCGATGATGACATTTCAATTCATTCTTTTGAAATATCAAAAACTTATTTTATATTTCGTTTCCCATCTTAATCTAATTTTTTTTCTGGTTGTATTGAAAAGTATTAAGCATTTTGACCTCTCAAAAGTACTTATTAGATCCAGTTTGCAAACAAAAACCACTTTTAAATTTGTTTTTACTATACAATGTGTCTACGCATACAAAAATAAAAAACAACTTCAAATATATATATATATATATATGTAAATAGTACATAAAAACCTAAATATTTTGAAATTATTATCATTGATAAATAATATATTCTTAGATAAATATTTTTCTAAAATTTTATCAAAAACTTGTTTTTTTTATAAAATTTTCGTTTTTACCTGTTTTTTTATTTTTTGTTAGTTTTATTTTTCTGTTTGTTAAATGATATTTGAACAAACAATACTGTGAATTCTATGTCTTATTTTAAAAATATAAATCTATTCGATTGCTGATAAATGATGATGCAATAATAATAAAGTGAAAAAATTAAATACAGCATACAATATTATCATAATATTGTACGCTATAATTTATTTATACAATAATATTACACCTGCCTTTATCTTTAATTCTTATTAAAGTAGGTATACAATTTACAATGTTAGAGGATCTCTGTGAAGTGAAGCTGTATTCGTTACGAAAATGTTTACATTTCCTTCGCCTAACCCAGTCTTTCGTCCAGTAGAATTATAATATTATAATAATATAATATATAGTCATATATACCTAGGTACTTGCTGTATAAAAATAATATTCGATCATTTTGCAGTATTTTTGTAATTCCTTATCACAGCGTGGCGTGCACGACGAAATCTCAAAATATAATTTTGCACTATTTAACCTGCACCGAAATCGGTTATATAACAGAGCACATAATCCATACACAAAATTATACAAAATAATTAATAATAAGTAAGATTCTTATTGGTATTGTCTCGCCCTTTCATCAAAGCTAGCACAAGTGTATTAGCCTTTGAACGGTGGTGGTAAGCAGCGTGTACAGCGCTTGCGTATAAAATACCACCACGACGTGTCCTTAATAACACCTACACCGTGTTCTAATAATAATATATATATATAAATACACGTGCTGCGCACACGTAATGTTCTAGTCATTCTGTGGCACGCGACGTTTCCTTCACGAGGACCGTCGGTCACTGCAAAGTCCGTTATCTGCGGTGATGAGCAATTTTTTTAAATTATTTTATCCATTTAACTTTAGTTGGTATATATCTATAAAAGTAGGCAGATATAACTGCGGACAATCATCGCCATCAAACCTAACACCCGGACGGATAATGTGGCATAAAAACGATGAACTCTATCGGCCGCAGCCATGTTGGTCGAACCATCATTGTACACGAATTCAACACCATTACGAAAATAATGGTAAGAAATATCATAAATTCAGAGCTGTCAATATATGGCACTAAAAACAAATTTATTATACGTACATGCATTATACAAAAGCTTTAATAATTAGCTTGATTATTTTTTTATTTATTATAAATAAGTCAGCTGTGTGTATAATGTTATACGCATATACTAATAAAATAGTGATCCTTAAAGTATAATTGTCATTTAAATTTACATTATTTGCATATTGCATATAATAGTTTGAATTTTTATATACTTAGTTTAGAGTGGATTAAATAAATATTTTTAAAAACCAGGAAAGTCCTTCTGCTGCATTGTCTTGAATAGGTAATTGTAAAAACGATACACGTGTATTAAATTTTAATTCAGTAATAAATCATTATATACGATTCTGAACCAAAACCATAGTTCATAATGTTATGGTCATAATATAAGAACAAATTGCAATGATATTAATATTTTCTTTTATAAAGATATTTTCTTTTATTACAGACCAGTAAGTCCTCGTTCAACGTCCCCTTATTTAGCGTAGTTTCGCTATTGCGTCATAGAAGTTTAAGTCCTTGTGTATCGTTTAACACTGCAACGATTTCAGTTATACGTCGTTTGTAATGTGCTAATATTTGTATGTGCTAATAAAATTTTTGTTATACGAGTATGTAATAATATATATTTTGTATAAATCATTACAGTAAGTAATTTAATTTCGTCAACCTTTTTCGGAAAATACTATTATCGTTTTGATTGACATACGTACCATGCGTAGGTACTATTTTAATTTATTTTATTTTAAGTAATATGTAATCGGTAATCGTTTTTTATTTTTTAAAGAATAAATTTTAAATACGTACCTTTGTAAATCTGATTAAAAGTTTTCGTTAATTTTAGTATAATATGTAATTTAATATAATATAATATAAAAAATTAAATGATGCAATTAAAATAAATATGTAGATATATTATTAATTATTGGCAAGAACCCATTATAATACAGTACAGCTATATGTAAAAAATGTTTCATTAACGTTTTTTCAGTTAACGTCGTGTTTTCTAGGAACCTAACCTCAACGTTAAACGAGGACTTACTGTATATACTATTGATAATTATTATTTTTATTAATAATAGTCCATAGCAAGGACGTTATTTTAGTTTTTTAGAGGTTCATATAACTAATATAGTGGGCTAAAACAAAATATTAATATGACGTGCAATATGACCATTAAGTTAGTTTCAAAACCAATACCTAAAATAAACCTATATAATGTTAATAATACATGATATTATTTAAGTCCAAACTCAGATTAACACATATACATTCACATTATAAAAATATGAAATAAATTATAATATAAATATAAGATTTCTCAAAAAAATTTTTTTTATTAGCGTTCGAAGTACAAATTTTAATGACATTGAATATTCACCTTTAAGTAACTATTTCTCCTAAAACGATTTTTTTTATATTTTGTTATAAATAATAAGCGAATAACCGTATATATACTTAAAATGTCCACCAAATGTATGTATGATAAAATTTTAAAAATATTTAAACTCTTTTAGAGTTATTCACACACATTTGAAATGTTCTATTTGTTTTATAAATGTTTATAAAAAGTTATTCACCGGGTAAAGAATGCTTGAAAATTTCATACAACATTTTACATAAATTTTCTTACAGATGTGTAAAAACTAAAAATATTTAAAATTTATAAGCACAATTTATTTCTATATAAGCTTTTTAAGTTCAAATTTAGATAAAATTACATATTTAAACTATGAATAACGATATTCATTATTTTTTTTATAATTCAAAAATATTATTCATGAAAAAATAAAACTTACGTATATTATTATATTTTATACGCGCTATAATATTTTTAAATGTACCTACCTATTGTTTTTGACGAAAATTTTTTAAACCTACTGAATTGCTAATGAAAAAAAAACTACTTTACCAAATAGCAATATCAAAAACATGACTCGAAATATATACTTAGTGGTAGACTAAATAAATCGCCTCTTACAGTGACCCACTAGACATCTACTGAGCCTACAACAGAGCAGTACCTACTCACTTGTCCAACTTTTTTAAAATGAAATTATAATTTTATGTCTAATTATTATTGAGTATTTAAGTTGAACTTTAGCTCTTTATTTAATTTACTTATATATTTTGGATATTTTATTAATTGTTTCTTAGATTTAATGCAGGTAACATCGTATATTTTACCATATTACATACCCACATCTAATTAATATCTATACAAAAAATGTCATTACTACTTCTCATGTTAATTAAATTATTTAATGACTTAATGTATATTATACTTGTCGTGTGGTTTAAAACTGAAATAATTTAAAAAAAATGTAGGTAATTTTAAAACCAATATACCTAGCCATTGGAAATTAACAATATTTTTAATTTATGATATTAAAATATTATAATACGTATTTATTAAATGCACCTATGTCAGTGATATTTAAGATACGTAACTTAATATAATATAATTTAGTATAATTAAAGCTTTATTATTAGTTTACTTTTTAAACCATATTTATTTTTTCCATGATAAAGTTATAACTATTTATTAATATTGACTTTGGTACAATTAAAGGAATCGAAACGCTGCATACATCAGGAAATAGTTTTATCGATATCGACCATCATCAAGATCACATATATTATCCATTTTCTTATATTATGATCGACGATAACGTTCAAGAACAAGATCATCATCATCATCATCATTATACATTTCCTCAAATCTTGATGAACCGTCCATTACCACCACCAACACCAGAACCATCAACTCTAACACCTTTAATGTTATCTTCACCACCTATTCCAGACTCTTATAATGTTCACCAACCATTTACCCCTATGATGCAACAATCTCGACAACCATCACTTCTACCACTAGCACCAGAATCATCACTTGCAGTTGGCTGCAGTACCATTCAGCAACGATACCAGCAACGTATAAATTATTACGATTACAGTGGTAGGTGATCATGCACCTTTAATCTACACGTGTAAATAGTATACCTACCTATGGCTTTAAGCTCTTTAGCAATAGATAAGTATTGTTTTGTTGTCAGGTAGGTATAAATAAAATGTATTTCTGTTTAGAAAGAAGCTCCGAGGAAGCGGCTACCAAAATGATAAAAAATGATTCACCTTCAACATGTTTAAGTCGACTACATCTAGGAGAAAGAACTATTGACAACAGTATGAAGTCAACTGTCATTTTTAATAAAAACACGTATCAACAGCAAACATCAAATAATATCAATAAATTGTCAGAGGTAAGTTACCTACTTAATTTACATAATTTATCCCAGGTATATCCAAATTATAAATCTACCAACAATATTATTACATAAATTTCTTTATAATTAACAATACAGCAAGCAAACGAAATCAAAACACAGTTTGAAATCACACTGGACGAAGATAAAGTAGTAGACGTGTGCAAACGAACTATATTGGCTGCTTTCAATAAAGTCATAATTAGTGAGGTTTTTCTTATATGACCATACAGTTATTCATTTATAGAAAACTGATTGCTTGTTTTTTTACATTTATAGACAATTTTGAATCTGCTTTGTTCAAATTACGTAAGACTATACGAATATTGGACGTATTGATGTTTGACGAAGGCGGCAGCAAAATCAGGGCCAAAATCGATACTGTCGGGCCATGGTTGGAAACATTGAAAGATATGGAACGAAAAATCAAACAAAATCAACAGAACTTACACAATAATGGCAGTCACGATCCCGGTCAGTTTCTAAGCTATCAAATACAGAATGGAATCTTTTGAAAATGTACATTTTTTTTAAATACATAAAATTAAAATATATTTGTCTTAGAAAATTATTAAAAATATGTAATAGAATTAAAGTCTGTATAATATTAAAAAGAATATTTTTGAACAATATGATTATATGCGATAGGTATCTAACACTAATAAGTAATACAAATTAAAAATAGTAAAACAGTAGATAGTTGAATTAATACTAAAAAAATTTAAAACATCATAAATTTAGACAGTCAATTTTAATTATTCTTAATACAAAATTCATTATAGTTATATGTATAAATTTACTAAAAATAATTTTGAACGCCTTAACAACCATTATTATCTAAAACTTAATTTTTTAAATTTCAACATATTTTAAATTATTAATTACTTTAATTCGTTTTACTAAAATTGCAAAATATGTCATCTGCATTAAAACTATATTTTAAATTTAAACTTAAAGGCAGTGCCTACTAGATATTTGAACCGTTTAATTGTTTACGAGATTAGTTTTCATTCAGACAATTATTTGTTAGTAAAGTATATTTTATAACAAAATTAAAATAATGAAAAATATTTTTTTACCTCTTCGATCAATATGTTTTAACTTTTTAAGTTTATAACTATAAAAGTTAGAAAGCTTATAACTAACTATTAAGTGCACAATGAATCTTATAGTCTGAGGTGTATACCCACTAAAATAAAGTTATAAAGTTAATTGTATTTTAGATAATAGTGAAAAAACAAGATCAGAAGACGGCTATAACAATCAACTAAGACAACTAACCAATAATAGGAGCAGTAGAAATAATAGCATTAATAATGAAAACAGAGGTCTTTTAAATCAATTTTGGTGGAAATCAAACTTAAGACGTTATCGAACTACTGGAAAGATTATTGTAGAACAACATAGATGTAAATGTTATACAAACCGTCGTCGATACAGAAGAAACAATCCATATTTATAAATCAGGTTCTTCATTTTTGGATTTTCAACTTAATACACTCTGTGTAATAGTTCTATATTTCTTGAAAATTAAACATATATTATGCTGTATTTAATAAATTTATATTCACTACAATTATAATTTTTGTCTCAACTAGGTATACTAAAAAAAAAAATAAGGTGTAGACAATATGCCGAGCCCGTGTCGCCGCAAACTGCTTTGCCACGCGTCTATTCTTCAAAGACCGTTTGGCAGTCAAACTTTATATAATCGCTAGTTTTATAAAATTTAAATAAGGATTAAGAAACGTAATATGGCGAGTCATCTAACAATTTTGAACTAATTTTGTTTGTTAAAGCAGTTAACGCGAAATATGTGAAAATGTTGATATTGAAATTCTACGTATGTTAAAAAGTTAAAAGTAATAATAATGATAAGAGTAATAATAATTATTTGCCTTGTTTAAAAACAACTTTATTTAATTATTTTTAATATTATAAGAAGCTTCTCTTCTATGACAGTTTGAAAAATATTTAAAAATCATCATTGTACCTAACTGTAATGAACATTTTTTAGACGAATACTTTGTACATAATATCTTTAACTATAGAATACGTTATAAATAAAACAAAAAATATTTAATATTGTGTTACATTGGTATCTATATGTACTTGGTTGTTTATTTATTAAATTGTTAAGGCAGTTAAAAACCAATACATTGTGATACATAGTAAATATTAAATAATGATGTTTATGATACCTTGATCGAATAAAAATATCTCTCAGTAATAGGGACTAACAGTTTCCGCTCAGAATCGTATTTCATATACAATTGATAGATCATTGAATTTAAACTTTACGCGCCCACAATAGTGACCCACTCGACTACCTAATGTACAGCAGAGCGATACTCGCCTACCTTTTAGATTCTGAACGGAGTGATGATAATGTATTGATTTTACAATGATGTATTTTTTTTTTGTGTCTGTGTACAGCATAAGTAGTCGAAATAATGCTCCAATTTCAAACTTCGGGGGTGGTTTCCGATGGCAAAGTGAATATCCTTCACTTCAAAATTATAAATAGAATCGCATTATGTGATTTTTCATTATTTTGTAATATCATAACTTATCTGTTTTAGAAATATATTATGCAATTTTTATTTTATATTTATATCTATCTACGAAATATATTAAGTATTACGCCAATTGTATTATTTTTTTTTTTACTTTTAAATCAATTTGAGCAGGTACATATTTTAATATATGAATTATAGTTGAATAATAAATATGAAATTTGAATTTATTTTTGTAAGAAATTATATAATATAATTTTTGCTGCCAAGTACGCATCTTTTTTTACCGTGTAAGAACTTGCTTAGTTTGTATCTGTTTTTATCGAGTAGGATGTAGGAACTAACATTTGTATTTTAGATTCTGAACGGAGTGAAGAATGTATTGATTTTACAATGATGTGTATTTTTTTTTCTGTGTCTGTGTACAGCATAAGTAGTCGAAATAATGCTTCAATTTCAAACTTCGGGTATGGTTTTCGATGGCAAAGTGAATATCCTTGATGCATTATGGAGGTAAAAAGTAAACATTTTCCAACAGTTTTCAAAAAAATCGAGAAAAACAAAAAAAAAAATTACAAAAAAACGAGAATTTTTACGCAAAACCAGTTTTCGACCAAATCGACTTTTTTATATGGTTGTAATTCAAAAACTAATCACTGTAAATACTTGAAATTTTCACCAAATGTTTATGTTAGTATTATCTATATACAGTTTAATTTTCAAAAATTTTTGACTTTTTTTGAGTTATTTATAAACCACTGAAATTATCGATTTTTATGATAATTTTTTTTCGAAGTGTCGATAAAAATATGTTGGATGACCAAAAAATTTTGAAAATTTTTTGTGTTTATAACTAAGGATTAAAGATACTACACTATGTTTTTCCTAAGTTTTCCTTCAATTAGCTATAGTAAAAACTCGAAGCATCATTAAGAGTGAAACCTCGGTATCTCGAAGTTTCTGCATGTCGAATTTTTTTTTCAGTCCCGATCATTCAGTATTGGACTTACGTACAGTGGAACCTCGATAACTCGAACTTCTATAAGTCGAATTTTCGATAACTTGAAAGAATGTCTTGGCCCCTACTTTATAACATATCATATGTGTAACCTCTGTAAGTCGAATTTTCGATAACTCGATTTTTTTTTTCGTCCTCAACTGATTCGAGTTATCGAGGTTCCACTGTATTAAGTGATTTCGGTATATCGAATTTCCATATGTCGAATATTAATACATAATATGTATGCAATGTATAAATACAAATTATATTATAAATACACATTTTTCCCAATAATTCAACATTTTTATTTCAAATTTTATTTATGTTATAAACTCCCTCTCTAACTCGAAGTTTCGATATGTCGAATTTTTTTTTCGGTCCCTTACGACTTCGAGATAACGAGGTTCCAGTGGTTCCACTGTATTTAGATTGGAATTTTCTTTACATTATTTAATTTACAAAATATCTTGATTTTTGAGCTATTTATAGACAACTGAAATTTTCAATTTTTCTGAAAAATTTTTTTTGAAGTGTCAATAACATTTTTTTGGCAAATCAAAATACTTGAACATTTAATACAAAGTTCCTCATAAGTTATTCTTATAGTGATCAAAAAATTTTAAGAATACATAGGCACAATTTTTTTTTATTAGCATTTGAAGTTCAAATATTGACAAAAATTCGTCAAAACCATGAATATTTGTATCTATACTCGAGTAATCGACGAAAAAAGAATAAGTAAATCAAAGTACCTATTCAACAGTTGTTAACTAGAGGAACTACGAGAAAACAGCACATATATACAATTATTTAGATTTCGTGTTATTTTCGAAATCAACAAAATAAATCATTTATTACCGTTGGTCTGATTGGCTGTCATGTTTTAGATACTTACATTACTCATGAAATGCATACTTATCAAAATCCAAGCAAGTTGTCAATAATAAAATTAATAATTATTAATTTAAAATGACAAGGGAAATAATAACAACATTTTACTGACAAATCTCTTAACTCGACTTCTTGATCGAATTCAAAAATAACGAACATTAAAATTTAATATATCAAGTACAAATACCCAGATAGGAGTATTATAGTTAAAATCTCATGATATAGTACTATAATAAATAATATTCTATAATAAAAGTGCGATACAAGTAGAATACATTCATCATTCTTGGATTATATAAATAAATTACTGATAACTCGTTCCTATCCATTTGATACAATTAATCAATAAATAATCAGCTTAGATATAAATGGTATAAAATAAATAATTTCACAAAGAAAATATATTACCAATTATATTACCTCTTTATAAATATTAAGAATGTACTACATTTTCAAATAAACACTTTAAAAGCAATATCAAGTAAATTAAGGTAGTTGATTCTTTCAATTATTTAAATGTTATAATCTACAAATAATTGTTAGATAGGTAGTTATTAATAATAAACCAATTTTTTTTAACATAAAACATATTAAAAAAAAAGAACAATTGGATATTAGTTCAAACAAAATGATACACCAATTCACTTTTAGAGTTCTTGAAATCTTAGATATAAAGAATGTACAATTTTATTCAAATATTTTGTTAAAAAAACACATTAAATAGGTACATGGGGGTACTTTCAAAAACATAATCTCTTTATGAATATCATCACTCAGCTTTAAGAATAAAATACATTTAATTATTCTTCAATAAACAAATAAAAATTAATTAAAGTTAACAAGTTAAATTTAAATAATAATCAATAAAGGTACCCATCTAATAAGACTTACTTTTTAAATATAATAAAATGCATTAAAAAAAAATAATATACTTTAAAATAAACTACAAAGAGTAAAAAAATATTTAAAAACACTACAACGGTACAATATTTATATTTTTAATTCTTTCCAAATCATAATATGAGTTAAGCGCTATTGAATATTAAATAATTAATCTTATAATTTTTACTTTTAAATATTTTGTCTAAGCATATTCATTAACACTAACTTTTGATATTATTTTTTTAATCAAAAACACTGTATATCTATCATATTTTTTAGTCCTAAATTGACCGCGTTTAACAATTCTTCAACTCGTTTACGTTCTTCTAACGCGCCCTCCTCCTCAACCATTATTTCTTCAAATGATTGATTGATAACATATGAAGTAAAAACATTTTCGTTTAATTCGTGTTCGAAATCCTCCAAAACTAATTTCACCATTTTGTGATGTATTCGCTTAGGCACAAAATCTCTTATTATTTCCTTGATAAAATCAAAATAACATTGTGTTAAGCATTTATGGACCTTCACTTGTTTCGATGTTTCTGTGTTAGTAGTATCCAATTCGTTTAAACCTGATAACATTTGTTTAAACTGTTCTATTTTAAACTTTTCATCAACTGTTTCATTTTCTTCATCTCCTTCAAAACATATTTTATTGTTCGAGATACTCATAAGTGCTGCAATATTTTCATCTTGCAAATCAACTGATGATTTAACTAATTGAAATAAAAAATTTGGATTGGTTGTATTAAGACATGTCTGATAGGTCTCTATGTAAGACTTTATAAATTCTTTTAAATCAGTTAGTTTTTCATCCAGCATTTTGTTGAGAACATTTCTAACCTGAAATCAAATTTAATAGTTGTATAATTATAATTAAATAGGTGAAAATAAATAATAATCTAGTTATTACAGTATAATGAAAAAATTGATGTTTTTTTATTTGACCTTTCTGTATATAATTAATTACAGGTATAATTATTTGATTCAAATACTAAAAGGGGATTGGAATTACTGTGAATAAATGAAAACGGTGAGCAATACTAAAACAAATAAGTAGATGTGCAAATTCAAACACTGTATTTATTTACCTTTGATATACCCATGTTTTACACTTAATTCTAAACATTGTTGGTATTGAGAACTACATAAAATTATTCTATTTTGTATACTTATAAATATATCTTAAATTAGAAAAACTCATGAAAATTATTTGATTCAAAATATAAACATTTTACTTTTAGTTAAACTGAAAAAAATAAACATCAACGTTTTAACTAGAAATATGATTGTTAAGATTCTACTTACATCTGAATTTATGCGAGGAAATCTTTTAAGTGTATCCAAAATGTTTTCATCGATGAAATCAAAAATTTTTAGCATTTCTACACGTACGAAGTCCACACTACACATGGACGGTTCAATTAGATTTTTAATTTGTCTGAAAATCATATTTTGCAATGCTTTTTCATTTACAAATGAACTTTTAGTGATCCCAGAAGTATTTGAAAGGATTATAGATATCTGTTTATCCGACAAGTCTTGTAGCGGGTCAATATTGTTTATTTTATCCAAATATTCATCATTTATTATTTCAGAAATGCGTGCACCGCCCATAATTATTTTATCCGAAACATCTTTTCTATTTCCCAATATTGTATCACAATAGGACTTGGATATATTTTTCAATAAAGTTAATACAAATGAAATTTTGCTGTCTGGTGTTTGCATTGTTTTCAATTCTTCTTCTAGTTTATATTTGGTATCTTGTAAATTTTTGAGTAAAATTGGATACGTTTTTTTTATGTGTTTAACTAAAACATTTTGTAATGTTTTAGCTAACACTTTGTTACCGTGGTTTTTATAAATTTCTGGGTAATTTAATCTTAGAAAATCTCTTTCAGATTTTAATGTGTCTTTCATTGATTTTTTATCGTTAATATCTTTTTGACTACGATTTACTACACCAATAATTCCAAGTTTCACAGGGATTTTATTTCCACACAGAAATTCAGTAGTGTCCTGAATAGTACCTTTATCGATAAGATCGAGTTTTGTTACGACAGCAATTGTTCTTAACCCATTTGGGTCCATTTTTCTAGCTATTTTTAAGCTTTCTGAAGTAGACGGATCGGTATTAGCCGTTACAACAGCTAAAATAATAGCATTTTCTTTTTGAACATATTTTAATATAAGTTCTTGTATCTGTTCATCTATATCTTCCGGTTGATCTCCTACTGGTACTTTGGTTATACCAGGGAGATCAACAAACGTAAGATCGTATGCAAGTGAAAACACTTTTAAAATGATCGGTTCATGTGTGATACCATTGTTGGTACCAGCTAGAATATCAGTTTGATTTTCGATTTCCAGTCTAACTTCATCGAAATCATCAAAAATTTTTTCAGGCTTATGGTGAAAAGTTGCCCAACATTTAATATCATGTTTTTTTGACAATTTTATCATATGTTGTTGATCTTCTGTGGTAAATCTTACCATTTGCAGAATGAGCGGAGCACGAGTTACAATACCTGTACCTCGAGGCAAAAATGATTTGCCGACCAAACTTTCTAGAACAGAGCTCTTTCCAGAACTCTGAGATCCAACGACAACAATTTGAGGTAAATCAATTTGATGTTCACCAATTACAGCAAAAACTTCTTGTAATTTGTTTATGATCTGGATTAAGGACTCCATATTGTTCAACTTTAATTAAATTAAAAATACCTATAATAAAAAAAATTTTGCTATTAATTATTATTGTATTATTAAATTTAAAAACGTATCATTATTTTAATTTGTTATACTATTGATACCATTTTAATAGATTTTAAGTACACGATAACTTCTACAGAATAGACAAATTATTAAATAATAATAAAATAAATGGTATAATTTCAAAATCTATGATTTATATTTTAAACGTGATTCAATTATAGCATTTTAGTGAATTGATTAATATAATACTCAAATCAAAAATTGTGTATATTTATAAAGTATTGTAAACATTACAACTTTATTCATAATACTAATATTATCATTATAAATCAACCTTTCCAAATATAACTTTAAAAAAAATTAAAAACCAGACAAATTAAGTTAAATTAATCATCATGTCTAACTGTTATCTTAAAAAATAAAGTAAAAAGATTTTATGATGACAACGCTATTACAATATTAATATTCATAAATAATGATTTAATAACTATTAATAATTACAAGCAACCAGTTCTACTAAAAATATATATTTGAACACTTTCTTTCCAATTTTATAAATACGCACATAAAAGAATATTCATAATAGTTAACACATGGGCGCCCATAGGTAATATTTTAGGGGGGGTCAAAATAAAAACATTTTCGAATGTAAGATAATAAAGATTTAATGTTATTTTTCACATATAAATGTATACACTATACATGCATGTTATATTTTTATTTGTATATATATATATATAGTGTATTAATAATAATTGCTATACGAATAAATAAATAAATATATAATAATTGCCATATGAATAAATAAATTAATAAATAATAATTGCCATACGAATAAATAAATAAATAAATAATAATTTTAATAAGTATATTATTCGGTATCAGTAAATAAGAACTGCAAATTTCTTCGTTTTACTCCAAACATATTAATGACATCCTGAATGAAAGTATCCTTGTTTGCATTAGGTTAAAATATTTGTAGTACCATTGATTATAGAATATTCTATAATATGTTATTCTATATTCTATAATCAATGGTAGTACCTATATTGTGATCTTTATAGATTTACCACAAATTATCTGCGATAAACAATTTTATGTATAGGTTATACGGACTACAGAATACGACCTATCTATGATGTTAATATACAATAACAATGAGTATATTTTTATATTTTTTTCATATCTTAAAAGTGATTTCAACAAATAATTTACCTCGGTAATAAGGTAATATTGTGGTAATATTTTTTTCCGAGGGGGGCAGAGTGCCCTGTTTGCCCAATGGGCGCCCATGAGATAACAAATACTTTTTTCTGTTTGTATAAATTTGATATAGAAAAACATGCATGTTAATCACAAATAGATATTTTGGCTTAGTTATAGATAATTAATACATACATGTAATAATCAGTAAATTATTTTAATTGCCACATATATTCGTATCTCTAAATAATATATACATTAAATTAAATAATAGAATAATATGAAAATATTGGTTATTGAATACAATGAATGATGGTATAAAAAAAAATGTATTCTGTGCTTAAGTTTATTACTTTTAAGTGATATATTGACATATCGTACAACATTTGTATATAATTAGAATTCAAATACTTAAAATTAATAGTTACAATAATGAATATAAATGTATCAATAAATATATTTCATTTTCAACTAATATAAAATAGGTATTTTAATAGAGTTTAAAATATAATAATTATGAAACATATCTACTGTAAAATGAATTATTTTAAATCGACAAAATAGTTCGGAATAATAGAAAAAATAGATAGCTATTGTTTATACTTTATACACATATATATTAAATACCACCGAGAGATAATCTAAACATAAATTAATTAGAACGAGTGCATCGTTAAGATTCCATGCCTCGACAACGTGTCATATTATTAAGTGATCGTTAGTTTATACTTAATAATTCTTATTCATTTTATTTTTGTAAAAAAATTACATGAAACTGTTAAATAGCCCCACGTAAGTATGTACTAATGGAGAGAAGATAACGAGATAAACTGCGAGGAAACAATGTTAGGAACTAAAAAAAAAATATTAAAATTTTAATAGTAAATGAATGTGTATATGTCGTAGCCACTTGATGAAATTGATCTTTTCATGAAAAGATGACCATTTCATCAAGTGGCTACGACATATATAATTTTAAAAAAAATTTAATTAATTATATTTATTTTACTTCAATAGTTTATATACAAATTAATAAAATAAACTTGCTAGACAATTTTGTTACTTAGTCATCTGTGTGGTAACCTGCATACGATATACATATATAATAATTTATAAGTCATTTAGAAATCAAGAAACCATTTTTATGATATATTAATAACAGTATTAATGTATGTAGTATGTCACCCAGAGATAATTGAAACCAAAATTAGTAATTTATCTGCGTAAAAAGATTAAAAACTTTTTTCTTGCACGTAAAAAAATAACCAATTTGCGAGCAGAAATAAATGAAAACTTACCAGGTTATCATTTAGTTTTATTATCAATATTAATAAATATTTATTATAAAATTATAGTAATGTTGAACTAAAGAAATTAATTTAAAAATGTAAGAAAGTCATTTTCAAGTAAACTTCATGACAAGTTCAAATTTGTTTTCAGAATTTGGATTCGATTACTAGAACATCTAGAACAGTCTGTACAATTGGCAAAAGACTTAAATTTTAGAAAAAAATAGAATAGATGAAAAATCCTATGGTGAAAAAATTACATTAAAAACTAATACTTATTATTACCAAATTCAAGCGCAGCTTAACATTAAAGAAAGGAACTAAATAGGTACTGTTATTTTGTTGTATGGACTCCGAAAGGTAATCATTGTGACAATTGTATACATAAAATCTACAGCATTATAATTTATACGTTCGAATCTAAACATGTTTATTTAAGGTTTTATAGTAGATACACAAAATACATAAAGATGTCGAATTTTGGACTTTAAAAATTGTACCATCGATTACAAAATCTTACACGAATTCTTTGCTGCCTGAATTAATTGACTCGAGACTTGAACATTGATCAAAATCTGGTGCTCGGTACACCAGAAAATCTTTAAGTAACGTAAAATCGTGTACCAATATTAACATAATATGCATTATTATTTTGTTAATTATTATTTACTTATCAATCATAATTTATACAATTAGTGTTTATACTAAAATAATGATGTATATGAACACAATTTTGAACCACACTATATATAATACTGTTGTATTACCTGTTTTGGCAATAAAAAGCGTGCCGTGACGCAAATAAATTATTATTTAACTGTTTTACTGAAAAAATGTAATAATTTTACGTTCGGAGAACTCGTGCACACTAATTATCCGTCATTACTCATTACTCTCATAGAAATTCCCAATAAATTTAAAATATTGGTGAATGTAAGTTCTTCATGAAACCTAGCAAGTAAAAAAAAAAGCGGGCAAGTGGGTACCGCTCTGTTGTACATTAGGAGGTGGGGTGAACCTCGGACTAGGGTATCATTGTATGCGAAAAACGATTCTGAACGGAGATGATTTATCAGTCTAGGATATATTATATTTAAATATTGTCATATATTCTATTTTAAAACAAATATTTTATTTTTCAATTAGGACACATTTGCAAAAGTCATGGTTAATCAATTTTTCCAAAAACATTGCATTTAGTTATCATAATTCATAATACCTTATTATATTATCATAGATATACCTGCAGGTATACCAAAAGAATGATTGTAGATATCCTATAACACAAAAAGAAATACCATAATATCACAGAACAATATAATATATCTAGTTCGTAACCACAATAATCATCTCGTATAATACATATAGGTGTATTTAAAATTTTTAAATTTCCGTGGTTTATGTTTTAATCACTTGAATACACCAAAATTTAATTCTTTTATAATTATTGTAAGCTAAATTTATGGAAAATATTGAATTAAATTTTCAACTCTCAGCTACTTATACAAAATTTTTTATGAATTATTCCTACAAAATAGTTTGCAAATATTCATGGTTTTGACGAATTTTTGTCAATATTTGAACTTCAAATGCTAATAAAAAAAAATTGTGCCTATGCATTCTTAAAATTTTTTGATCACTATAAGAATAACTTATGAGGAACTTTGTATTAGATGTTCAAGTATTTATGTGTTATTGACACTTCAAAAAAAATTTTTCAGAAAAATTAAAAATTTCAGTTGTCTATAAATAGCTCAAAAAAGTCAAGATATTTTTAAAATTAAATAATGTAAAGAAAATGCCAATCTAAATAATTGGTAAGATTTTCAAGTATCTACGACTTATACTTTTTGAATATTAACAAATATTTGAAATCGTTTGAGGATAAATCGTTATCATCGTTACGCTATTTCGTAAAAATTTAAAATTCAAACGCACTTAAAATTTTTCCTATAATGATGTTTCGAGTTTTTACTATAGCTACTTGAAGGAAAACTTAGGGAAAACATAGTGTAGTATTTTTAATCCTTAGTTATAAACAAAAAACATTTTATGATTTTTCAACTTCAAAATTACTTACAAATTTTCGCGTTTTCGATAGATTTCGTAAATATTTGAACTATAAACTTTTATAAAAAAAATTGTGACTAACGATTTTTAATTTTTTTTAGCTACAATAAGAACAACTCATAAGGAACCTTGTATTAAATTTTCAAAATTTTTTGGTCATCCAACATATTTTTATTGACACTTCGAAAAAAAAATTATCATAAAAATCGATAATTTCAGTGGTCTATAAATAACTCAAAAAAAATCAAACATTTTTAAAAATTAAACTGTATATAGATAACACTAACATAAACATTTGGTGAAAATTTCAAGTATTTACAGTGATTAGTTTTTGAATTACAACCATATAAAAAAGTCGATTTGGTCGAAAACTGGTTTTGCGTAAAAATTCTCATTTTTCTATAATTTTTTTTTGTTTTTCTCGATTTTTTTTGAAAACTAAGGATTTGCC